GGGATCAATACCCTGGAAAATGCCAATGGAAGTGGGGCCATGACCCTCTGAAGTGCGGTCATGGCATGAAAATGCTGATAGAAGCTGGGCCAAGACCCTGGAGGTGGGGTCAAGACCCCAGAAATGCCAACGGAATCCAGGTCACAAGCATGGAAGTGGCATTGACGTTGGAACTGTGATCCTGGAAGCAGGGGCAACACCCCAAAATGTCAATAAAAGTGGGGTCATAGCCCTCCAAACAGCCCCATGAAGAGGCCTGGGGCTCTCCCGTAGACCCTTGCTCTGGCATCACCGGACAGCAATGCCCAAGAGGGGAAATGTCCGGTCCCGATGTCCCTCCATGGGTCACAGCCGTGTGAGGATGCTCTCTGGCCTCTGAATATGGATCTGCCAAAAGGAGGGAAGCAGGGAGAGAAACAGGGAGGCCGTGAGCACAACTTCCCTACCCCTGCATCTTCAGGGTGGGAAGGGACCCCGGACCCCCAGACCCACTTGTGTCGATGTATCCACGAACTCCAGGTCAACCCAAGTGTCCTTTGGGGCGGTACCTGCAGGGATGAGGTTGGAAGACAGCTCAGGGTCTGGAGCAGAGCGAACCGGCTCCCATCAGCCTGCTGGGACCCTCTGTACCTTTGTTCAGGGAAAAGAAGCTCCCTGATGGGCTCCAGTGCTCGCACGAGTCCTCGTACCACTTCCTCGGTGCCGTCAAGGCGCTCGTGCTGCCGGAGACAGGGAAATGCCTATGGAGTCACTTGCAGGGGGTCCTTCCCCTCCCCAGACCCACCAATTCCTCCTTTACCCCCTTCCCTAAAGGACCAAGGCTCTGCCCCATGGGGAGACAAGCTGAGGGGACCCCCTGGAGCATCTCCAGGCTATTGTCTAGGTCAAGGACCACTTTGCAAAGAAGGTTTCCCCCCAGGAACATCCCCCTCCCCAGAGAGGGGGCCCAGGCATCCGAGCCATCCAAGCCAGCCATTCCCCACAGCTTGATGGCCAATGTCACCTGTCAAACGATTTCGATCTCCGCGCTCTGTAGAGGAGGCCAGCAAGGACCAAGATGACCACGAGCAGAATGGCCACGGTCAAGCCCAGCCCCACGGCGATCTTGCTGGTCCGGGTTTTGCAGCGGTTGCCCTGGTACCAGTACATATCGGTCTCACGGCAGCTGTGGGGAGGAATGGTGGAGATGAGCACAAGGCCAGGAGCAGAGACCTCCCCCAGGTCCTATTTTTGTCCTCTTCTGCAAACTAAAGTCCCTTTTGGACTAGGATCCTGTGGCTATGGTCCCTGCTCCAAATCCCTAGGGCTTTGGCCTGTTCCCACCCTGGGAGCTGAACAGAGTAGAACACATGAAGGTCCAAGGCCACCATGGAGCTGGCACTGGAGCCCACACCATGGTCAGAAGCAGGTTGGCCAGAAGTGATGGTTTTACTGCACCCCTTACAAGCACTGCGGGCCGCTGCGTGTGACGTGGCACTGCCCGTAGTTGCAGTCGATGGTGCTGAGGGTGTTCGCCGTGCAGTTGGACATGCAGAACAACCCCGAGCTTGTCAGGTTGGGGAAGTAAAAATCCTGGTAGCCCTGGGGGGTGATCTGCCGGCAGTACGCTGGAGAGGAGAGAAGATGCTTGTGAGGAGACGATGGTCACCCTGACCCTCTGCGGGGAGTCCCCATCCACTCACCCTCCAAGTCCAAGGAAAGTGAACCGGGATCAACCACATCAATGGTGGAATTGAAGCACAGCTCGTCTGGAAGAGCAAAGGAGAACCAGCCCTAGAGAGCTGCCCCACATCGCACACAGCTCCTGCTGCCCTCCAGCTCCAGGAAGCCCCCAGGGCAGCAAGGAGGGTTCCCCCTTCACGGTACACATTATCCATGTGCGTCCCATCTACTCCCAAGCCCTCGCTGGGATGCTCACCGCTGTCCTCTGAGCAGTTCTGCAGCGCCGTCATTGTCTGTATCTCTTCCTGCAGGATCACGGAGATGTTGTGGAGCTGGTCCTGGGCTTGGGATGTCACCATCAGGGAGATGATCACATTGAGATCTACCAGGATGCTGCCATCTCTGGAGGGACACAGAAGCCACCCTTCAGCCCAGACAACACAGGATTTTCCTTCTGGGTGAACTGGAAAAATCACCAGCTGGGACTGCAGGAGCAGTGGGTCCTACTGTAACTTGCCCTTTCCCCAGGGGAAGGCTTCAGCCCCTCCAGAAGCCTTTTAACTGCCTCCACTGCAGCACCCCAACATCTTCCCATACCTGGTGTCCCCAGTACTCACATTAAACTCAGGATTTCAATGCCCCGGTATCCAGCAATTCCCTTGTAAACATTGT